CTGATTATTAAACATTTAATAATCACATTTTATGTGTCATATCAAAAAAATTAAATTCTACAACCTCGGTTCAACGGCTAATATCTTTCTAGCAGGGGAATTCTCTTTAATATTTTTCATGGTAACCGGATGAAGCTGTATCTAAAAAGAAAAAAATTAATTTGTTTATGATACTCAATTAAATTTTTTTTTTATAAACCCTCATAATAAGGGATGCCGGAAGGTGTATTTTATTTAAAAAATTAAAAATTTTAATTGAATTGACTTACCCATGATCGAAATATGTCCCAAATTACATTCATAGGTGCATCTGTTTTCATCGATCCTGGCATTGCATGCGATGCCGAAACTTTGTAGCCTTTGTTTAAGATGGCAGAACTATGTAAGAATGATAATTCAATAATTTATAATTTAGTTATTTTTTATTAGGTAAACTACATTAGTGTTATAATTTTTTACCAAAATGTTTTTAAAGGTGGATTTGTACAATGAAGTGTACCAGCGAGAGCGGGAAGGCTGTGAAAAAGAGGGACATCCAATTCCTATATGAAATTCAAAACAAAAATAAGAAATTCATATATATGGTACAATGCTACAACGATTACTAAATTCACATTACCTCCATAACAACAGACAACATGCCCAACATTCTCGAATGTGTCTGATATGTTTCTTTGCTTGACTCTTTGACATGTTCTAACATTCTATGAACAAATTCTTTATCATGAATAGAATGCGACCATATTGGACCACCTACCTAATTTAATAGAACAGGAATAAATTAATAATAATATTTTTGCGCAATGATTATCCATAAAAATTATGTCATTATACAATCATACATGAAACTTATTTTCACAATATTCGCAACTACTATTCACAATCGGTCCTGTAATTGGTACAAATGAGTTTTTTCCGGTTACTTTTGCAAGTGGCTGCGTATGGTAGGAGTGACAACCGGTGCATACATAGAGCATTGACGTTTTGCTTAAATATTAATCGATATTATATAGTTTAATCACTGTAGAAAAAATGACATGTAAAATTTATATATATTAAAAATTGTTTACCAGGGATTTTTTTTTACTTCAACAGGTGATGTAACGACTCGTACGAAAATACGAATATAAAAGTCAATGCTGCAACATAATAATGGGATGATATGACGACGATATTTAGCAGCAGATGTTGAAAGTGTATGAAGGAGAATGCGGAGCGCCTTCAAGTTTGAATGGATAATGATTAGAATATATATGTTTTATATGTTGGTCTATAAATTTATGGAAATGAAGATAGTGGCCGAACCATTTCATGACAGAATTCTCCTTTTACAGGGATTGAACCGTAGTTTGCATAACTAATGTAAAACAACAATATTAATCCAGGATGAATTAAACACCGAAATGCAACAATTCAATGGTTTTTATTTACCATTTTTCAGGGTAATTTGAACCAGTAAGATTGGCCAAATCAGTACAAGTAATACAAAGAAGGCCTATGAATTAAAAGCAATAAATCAAGGAAATGAAAACGTAACTAATATCGATTACTGCATTATTTTATACCTCCTTCTTTTACAGCTTGCACAGCACCATCTATGAATGGTGCTGCTGTTCCATATGGATCAAGGTCAATAACATCAAATTGATCAGGAAAGTTTCGATGTTGATACAATACGGAACTTAAATTTAACAGAAATTCTAATATATATTAAATTAATATAAATCTACGATATATAACATTTAAAAAGACCAACCAAGCATCTCCCTGGTTTGCTCTAACGAAATCTTTGCTTAATTCATTATACTCTACATTTCTATTAATCAAATTCACGGCATCAAGATCTAAATCGTTAGCAACTATATACTTAATATTGGAAAGTTCCTTTGCGTAACGAATTGATCGCAATCCACTAGCCGCCAATGCTTCTAAAATAGTGAAAGTATATGCTGTCTTATAGGATGGAGAATTAAGTAAGTGAACGATTGAAACAAATTGCTCACAAAGACCAGTAGACAAAGTGAATTTGAACGGAACGAACCTTGGAACTTGCTATCTTGTCATTATCGAAAACAATTTAACACATTAATATTTATTATTTGAAAGAAGCCAAATTGAGTTAAAGTGTACCTATTACATTGAGTTTTTATATCTGAATCCTTCTTTTGCTGCGCCTTTTTTTGTTTTTCCTCTGAAAATATCTCACTCCAGATTTTAATAGCCGCGATAGATAAATCACGATTAAATTGTTGAACATTGTTGTAAAATACTTTGTTATTTTTGGGGAAAAGAATGCTGGCTTTTCCTTCTGTAATTACACCATATTCACTATCCATTTTGTCCGTCTTTTCAGATCCAACAGACATAAATCTATTTTGCCAATTTTTGACGGCTAAAATGTACTTTAAAAAAAATCTTTTTTGTGACTTTGCACGAATTGCAATCTCACAAAGAGTAGAATGAAGAGGCATATGCCATATACCTAACGATACGGCATCTATTGCAACGTGAACTTCCGGGGTCGTCTAAAGCGGAGTATGCTCACGTGATAGACAACCAATCAGATCACAGAAATTTGATCGAAAATAAGCACAGATTTGAGATTGAAAAAGGTGGGATGTTAGAGAGCTTTACTTATTTGTGCTGGTAGATTATAAATGTCCGTGGACACGTGTCTTTAACCAATTACGACACTGGGTCAGGTGTAACGTGAAAACTCCATAACTCAAAATTTTGATTATAAAACTAACAAAAAAAAATTCCTTGCAAAATTTTGCTATATGCAGTATCCTTTCTAACATGCGTATACGTAATAAAATCGCGAGAGGGATATATTTATGTTACACGATGGGTTACATTAGCAGTAGTAAAATTTTGAGATATGTATTAGCGTTAGCATTTTTTCAAATTTTGTTATAGGGGTGAGACTCACCCCGAGTGAGCAATAAATGTATCCGTACGAATTTGAAAGTCCCCATTTAAAGTTAAAAAAGAAATTTTCAAGATTCCAAAATTCCAAAATTTTAAATGAAGTTTTCTATTACCAAATTTAACGAAAATTTTTATTTTAATTTATAAGCTTATAATAAACAGTCAAGTATTCGTCGAGAAATACGTATTCAAAGTTCTCAAAAAAAATTTCAAAATTTGGAAACCTCCTTGAATAACTAATGTAAATCGGCGGTTCCTATTTACCAACCAAATTGAACTAGCAGCAAGGATCACCAATTCTAAGCATAATAGGGGGGTCCTTAAAGCCCGGCAGAAGTTAGGGTTACTTTTTTGATTCAGTTAGAGTTAGCGGTTTATTAAAATATC